ATCAATTTGATTCTTACATTTAATTTTGTCCTATTTTTTAGCCGTTTAAAACCATTTTTCTTAATATTAATACATTGGCATTTTTGTATTATCATTAAAATGCATTAAACTGTTAACATTTGTAAATTTATTTTATAACTTTAAGATTAGCGACAAGATAAAATCGTTTTGAGAACTCAATACATGAAGTAGTTTGTTATAACATATAAAATAATTAGCTGTAAAATAGAAAACATCGTCGAAATAAACGCCAATATGTAGACGACGCGAAGGCACCAACGGTATGGTTCGTTGTAAAAGCGGCAGTAATGCTGCTTTTACTAGGCAAAGACGAGCGTGTTACAGAGAAAACGTGACTTGAAATTCATAAGAAAAATCAGCTTCTCGCCGGTGGTCGTGGAGTAATATCGTGGCGTCATATTGAATCCTATCAAGACAGTGGATACTTTGGGATGCAGCGACTGCGACTCAGATTAATCCTTTCGTATTCGAAGGAAATGCCGAAAGGAAGTCAGACAGATCTTGTTTTTTTTTTATTATACAAAAATTGGAATTTTCCAATTGTTCACCAATTCGAGAAAACGAGACTGCATTTTAAATTGAATTGATATCAAACAATTTGATAAAGTTGTTTTCTTCTCTTTATCTTTCCTTTTTTCATTTTATCTGACTTTGCCTAGTATAACACGCTCTAGTATTCTCTGTTACATATATTAACGTAACATGTTAACGTATTAAATATTTTATATAACATTTCTAAAGAGCGTCACATCTTTTTCCTTTATCATTTTAGTACATGTACATATATATTATTCCACAAATTACAATAATAAATTTGCAATGTTTCAATTATTTTAATATTCTGCATATGAGTAGATTACAAAATTATATACATGTAAAATTGTTTCTCCATTAATTATAATTTTTTTAATAAGTGATATCGGTTATTCATGCTCCAAGCATTGAAATAATGAACTTTTAAAATCTCAACTGAGGAATTACAAGATTAGCATTTGCAACGGATGTAATAGAATCCGTTGGGTCCATTTAATTCCATTAGACGGCACTTAGGATCGTAACGTTTGGAATGTTTCGTGCAAACTTTCACGATTTGGAGCTTCATACCGGACGCTATCGTCCCAACTCGAAACGTACAAATTGTACAAATGCGCAAGAACTCGATTACAATGAATTTCGTTAATTATTTTACATGACGATAAACATGTCGTTTCTAGCTATTAACATTATTCTTTCTTGCAAACACGAAAATATTCACAATCGTCGGAATCTGGGTAATAGCCCGAAAACAAGCGATGAGAAAAAAAAGCAGACAAAAATTTAAAAACCAAACATGTTTAAATTTTCCTTTGAACGATGTAAGCATTAATGCGTAAAGTTTCTTCAAATTCTTAAAATTCTTAAATGTTAAAACAACAAGAGATAATTGGCATTCAATTTTTCTCTTTATCTCAATAATATCGTCGATATTTGGAACATAGTGTTAATTGCAAAAAATATTATTATGCAATTAGAACATGGAGCGTCATTATTTTTTATAATCCGCATTAATAAATTATCAGTTAATTTAAATTCTAAAAAAAAAAACAAAAAGCGTATGAGTGAAATGCTTATTAAAATATAATAATAATATGTACAACAAGTCACCATAAATAGACAATTAGTTACATAAATGTATACAAACAAATTAACTTGTTCATTAATTATTATATTCTCACTAACGTTTATTAATTGTTCCATACCAATTTATATATGATTGAGGATTGTACTGTTTCGATACTATTATATATTAATTTATAAATTAGCATATTAAAAAGTGCAATGAATTGCAAAGGGGAAAGATAATTGCTCACATTGAGTTTTCTATTAAAATATAATTAAA